AAAAAGCTAGACGTTTACCGCAATTGCCAAATAAAATGTGCCAATAATGTGAATCTGTTAAATTTTTAACTATATGTAATCTTCAATGTGACTAGTGAAAATTAGTCATAATTGAGAGCACATGACATAAAGTATTATAATTGGGACTACTTCTTTTTAAGAAAGCAAACTCTGTTTCTGATGTTTAGCTTCTTTTTTTTTTTTTTTTTTTTTTTTGCCAATTTCAGAACCTTTGTTGCCAGGTTTCATAAATTTCCCTGACACCATGTACCATTTCATTATCATTTACAATCTGCCTCATTTTTCTTTTACCTTTCTAGTTTCTGTTAATGTAGTCCATTAAAATCTGTATCTGAAGGAAAAATTCTCTCCAGTTACTGGAATAGCCTAAATATTAGTAGTAGTTCAACTTCTTCCACATTTCTCACATTTTGGGTCTAACTTCTATCATGCCCTAAGGCACCAGTAACAGAGAGAAAATTATGTATTACTTACAAAGTCAAATAGCATTATCCGCTCTTCGTAGAACTCATTCCAAAATCTCTTAAAAACCTACTTCTGTCCTAGTTTTTTCCTTCTGGCTCTATAGTCCTAGCAATGACAAAGGCAAACTCTAATGTCTTCTCTATTTTGTAGCTGCCTCGCCTTACTCTCCCATTTGCACATAAACATCTAATTTGTCGGGGAGCAACCCTATTTGGTTAAATTTATTATCTGCTATCTCACTATGTGGGAGCATAATGAGAAGGAATTATACTTGAATTTCTGCTGGGCATGGATTGTACTGCTTTGGTACGGTTTAGTACAATTCAAAATTATCAGAAAATGTCTGGAGTAGTTCTATGGCTTTATACAGGAGTTGCTTTTGAAACGATGTAGGGGACATAGAGTAAAACCAAATTTAGAATCAGATGAATTAAGTTCTCCTGGCCATGATATTAATTAATTCTGTTATTCTCTCCCCAAACTCTCTGAACCTCACTTCCCATTTATATTAATTTTAGATGATATGAAATTCAGGGCTGCTCTATAGATCAAATAAGAAATTCTTAGTTACAGTTGAATATATTTTATACAATGCAAGGTAAAATGCCAATATTATACCCACATATGTTAGTTATTTCAAAACTATAAATGTGAGAATTCTCAATCTCTCATTATGCAATCTACACATTCAACGAAAATCTGTGAATTTGAATTGCAAATACCTCTTGAACTTCAGGTCTATAGAATTTGGCACTCCTGGTGGAGCTATTTCAGCCGGTAAATTCTGGATGTATTTTTTCTAAATATCTCTTGACTTGAAGGAAATGGTCTTCAGCATAAATTCTCAGAAAAATATGTACATCACTTTTAAGCCTGAAGAGAATCTAAATATCTTTGAGAAGCATAGATATATTCAGTCTGAAAATTATGAGAACACAAGAAAAAAGGTTATTGGATAAAATCAGTATGACTTTATTGGATAAAATTATCTTTAAGTCTTACTTAAATTACTTTTTCTTACACTATACCACAGATCAAAAGAATTAAATGCATTTATTCTATTCTGATATTTGCAAATATTCCCTCTTATTTTGTAAGGGGAACACATTTGGTTGAGTAGGGTGGTTAAAATTACTTCTTCCCACCTAACTTGAAGTTAGGATATGATTCCTGCCCAGGAGTGGGATGATCACCAAGCTCATCCTGTAAATTAAGTGATAATGGAATCTTTAAGTTGTTAGTTACAGCCTTTCCCTGATTCTATCAGACTACTGGTGAACTTTTCCTGCCAAATGAAAGAGCATACACCATGCTTTTTCAGTGTAACAGCCCTGTTGCTAGGAAGCCGAGTACTCACTTGGATTAAAAGCTGCCTCATCAAACCTCCTTCCTTGCCCTCTAGATCCATTCAGAAGCAGTTTCTTCCCTTTTTAACACTCATCCCTCATAATTTAAATATGACTATAAAGTCTTTCTTCATCCTTCTCTGTGCCAGGTTATGCTTCCTGATTCTTGTACGCATTCATTTATGATTTCCTTGCCAAAATGCTCAAGTTTCAGGTATTAACTTGAGATAATCTTTGGAAAAGTCCATATTACAATGCAATATCTCTATTTCAACAATTACCTTAGGTGGAGTTTTTCCAGTGCAGAATAACTGAGGATGCTACTTTTCTATTTCCTATCAAGCATGTCGCACTGTTGGCGCATTACATACACATCAAAACTCTTCCAATTCTGTTCCATTGATATGAGTATCTGTTTTTCTGCCAGTGCCATGTATGGCACTGTTGTTGATTCTGTCTTTATTTAAATTTTTGATATTTTGTTTAACATGGATCTTTTGCATCAATTTTTATTTTTAAAAATATTGCATTAAAATATTATTTATCTTGAAAAAAATCTCTTCCAGTCAAATTTTCACATGAGAGTTTCTCAAGCCAGCTCAATCCATTGTCGTGAAGTTTTGAAACTAAATACAAAACCTTACATATATCCCTAAATCTTGTCTGTATTCAAAAATTCTGCACAGTATCTCAAAAAGTTGGAACCATTAAGAATGAAATCAAATTGAAGTAAGAATCATAAACTTATTAGGTAATAAATGCCAATGTACACAGACAGTGTCACCTAGTGCCCATTACTGTTGGGGACATCACTCCAGGGAGTGACTCAAACCACGTCCCTTTGTCAACCACATACCCCCCCATAACCCCTAAAGAGGTCTTAATATCCCACAACTAGATGAGCCCCACAACTAAAGAGACCCACTGTTTCTGATGGGAGTTTATTCTATGGTATGACAGGCACTAAAAAATGCTTGGGAACCACAGGCAGAGTGCCACTGAGGAATGGAGGTGTCTGCACATCCTTTACAATCATTATGGAAAAGTGATATGTAAAATGTTTGCATCACTGAAAGCAAGGCTAGAGCCCTGGCTTTAAGTTCAAGGGCCTACAGGAGTCTGCCTATTTCAGCTGTGTGTCCTTAAGACAAGCACCTCCAATTCTCTAACCCTCAGTGTCCTTATCTGTAAGAAAAGGGGAAGGATACAAAGGCAATCATGCCAGTGGGGAGGATGCACCAGCAGGGAATCAGGAAGCCTCTTAATTGTCTGTGGCCTACAAGCTAGGCCTAAGCGCAAGCTTTTCATTTAGCCCTTATGTGTCTTTCAAATAGTGTTGTCCCTATCCCATCCAATTCACAAAGTCAAAGTTTGCTTAAATTATCAAACACATAGACATAAACAGCCATTTTATTAAAAAGAAGATTCTTTGCACTGTTTCACTCAGCAGCACCTTTACAATGGGAGTCGCAATGCATGCTCCAGATAATCCCCATAAATAATCAGGCAATCTGCTTCTTGATGCACTTGCAGTTGGGGTGGGGGGCATGGGGCAGTCTTCCCCCATTGAACTTGCACCTGAGATTTGCAACCTGTGAGTTGTAGAGAACCTGCCTCTATTTCCTTGGCTTTAACTTGTGTATAAGTCTTGTTTACATCATATAAAGAAAGTTGATTCATTCAGATCCCTAGCAAATACTACGGAAACTCAATGATTTCCTTATTCACCAAATAGTTAAATTGCCATTAAGATGAGCCAGACTAGGTGCTCATCAGCATTTGGTCTGTCGTCTGAGATCTTCCCTAACAATTTCAAAAGACCTGGACTTTCATGAAGATAAGAGGGAGAGAAGACTATACAGAGTTGGTCTAAATATTGCAGAAGCTCATAGGTGATTTGCTGAATTGCTTAAATTTAATCAAGTATTTTGCATTGTTTAGACAATAAGCCAAACTATTAAATCCAATCATTTAATTTTCAAAAATATTTAAAATCATTTGTTTTTCCTATATCCACCCTTGTTTAATTAACCTCATCACCTCAAATTTCTCAAATCTTTTTCTTATCCATACAGTCAGAATACTACATATTAAAAGCAGCATATATGCATACGCACATCTCTTGGATGCATAAAGGGAAGGAATAAACATCATTGATATAAAAAAATCACCCAAATGCTTAATTTTATCCTAAACTTTGTTCTACATAAAGATCATCTCTGTCACTTACTTAGAGCTGAATCCTCTCCAGGTAGTCATTTAGAGTAGGGTGCATCATTCAACAGTAGAGATGGGCAGACAAAATTTAGTGAAATGAAAACTCACCAGCAAACTATAAGAACTTTATGTAACCAAGAAAGGGATAGAGAATGAACAGAGACTTCTCAGAGAGAAGATGATATCTTAATAGAAGAGAAAATGATTAAGTTTAGTAGATTTAATGTCTCCAGTTCATGATGAGAGAGAAAAAACACAAACTGATTCACAGTCATGGGTATCCACAACAAGAAAACTTTCAAGCCCACCTGTGTGCCCAAGTGTCCTCTTCATCTTACCCTTGAAGCTGCAGCACACAGAGCTTTTAAATTTGGACTGTGAACTTGAATTTACTGAATTATTGACTAGAGGTGTCTTTAGCAACTGATGATGGAGTTAGCATAAAGAGAGATGTGCAACAAATTGTTAAGAGCAATTTCATAATATTTCTCTTAATAGTTGCAGAACAAAGTATTGTTTTTAAAAATTGCCACCCCAAAATCCCTGATACATTTTGAATTGCCAGGACAAATCAAACAAATTCTCCAGCATTCTAGAGAAGTATGTTAACTCTTGCCTCCTATCTTTACAAGAAAATATTTAGAAATCAAAGAGAGACAATTGTGAAAAAGTAAAAAGGCAGGGAGAAAGCAGCTGACCATTAAAGAATGCTGAATTATCTCTGGATGCTCTGCATTCGCGTTCCCTGGTGTGATGGGAGCACTCTTGGTGAGAAGAGGCAAGAGTTTAAATAGTTTTCTGAGAAGGCCATGAGGTAAAGTGCTCTTGGAAAGAATAGATCTCCCCCTGCAGATCTCAATAGACTTCAGCGAGACAGATTTGTCACAGCTAATTAGAAGTGTATTCATGAGGTGGAAGAAAGGGAGCCCTAAAGTCACATGGGCTTTGAGAAAAGTGTTTCCACCCCTGGTATCCAAAGTGCAAGACCCTGATTTTCTGAGAGTTTCATCAGAAATTTCCCCTAACGGCTATTCCTCCCAGAGAAATGTGGGAACTAATGTGAAAAGTCATAAAAAAGATGAAAAGTAGCCCAAATATTGTTATTTATTTTAGCATTTTATTGGTAATCTAATAATTATTTTATCTGAGCATTAAGGCAATACATACACTGAGGAAAATATGAAAAAGTTTAAAAATTTAGAAGTGCCCATAATACTCAGAGATAGTCACCAAAAACATATCATATTGATGGTTATCCTTACAAAATTACATTCCTACTGCATGTTTACATACATAGATACATATATAAAGTATATACTTACATATGTAGCATTTACATACTAACACATATATGTGTGCATACATGTGTGTACTTAGATATGATTTGACAATTTTTATTTTTCATGAACTACTTAATAAGAAGTGTCCCTAATGTGAAATATTCTTCCAAATGTAATGTTC